TGCAATTTTATAGAATTTAGTGACCACCTCCCAATTCGTATCTACCTCATAAGAAATCCAGTATCTACCAAAACTGAATGGAATTGTAAAAGCATTTGCTTCCGGTCAGTCAGGAAATATTTCTGACTGTCTAACAGCTGACACCTCACGGGTAAAAAGCTGGGAGAGAAGATACCAGAATAGACCAGACACATCCTCCTCCACCACACGCATCGCCAGTCGGAACTTCCCTTCCTCCCCATTCGCCTCGCCCCGTCTCCCTCTCCCTCCAATGGAGCCTGCTCTCCTTCGCCCTCATTAAAAGGAGCATACCTGCCACGCACTGTTTCTCATCTCAACAGCCTCCCACTAAGCTTAGTTCAACAAAAATTTCTCAACCCTGCTATATGTGCACTGAGCTATTCATTTTCCCTCCTCCCCATCCCTTAAACCTACCAAAGTTTGCTAGAGAAAGTAACATAAATTGTCAATTTACTCTAGGTCAATTCACATCGTACATCTCCAGTTAGTCTGCAGTGTTGCCAAGAAACACTATTATGTTCCTCACAGTAGCTGCCGTAAAATTTTTCCTTCTTTTTTATTTTTTTCCAAGATTTATCCTTAAATATTCAAGAAGAAAAAAACCATGACAAATCTAGGAGAAAGTGACCATGATATCTCCAGGCTCACGACATCCTGGAAGGGAAGCCTGGGATTGCAGATTTCACAAAGGTCTGAGAAAATATAGGCGTGAATTCCACTGCAAGAGTTTCTAAAGGGAACGATGATTTAAGAGGGTTGGGAAGCTCTTAAAACTGTAAATCTGATTATATAATTACAAATCATTCCAGTGAGGAAGTCAATGTGGCTTTTCAAATATCCTGGACACGAGTCCAGCACTAAATATTAAAAGTACGAAACACGTTGTGGTGTATAACAGAAAGCAGCGATCCCCAAAAGCCAGCCTGGGTTCCCCAAGAACGGCGTTCCTTTACATTTTTGATAACGTTGCAGGAATGAGGTTCATGAAAACATGGTAGGAGTGAGGTACAGAGGTGAACGAGGCTCGACTGAGATCGACGTGACAATTCCAAGAACAAGATGAAAAAGGACTTTGTGACAAATGGAGGTTTCCAGAACTGTAATAATCTTGGGGTTCCCCTAACTGGAGGCACCGAAGTGCTAGTGGGGGTGCCAGAGAAGCAATGCTTCCACCAGAGGAGGCACCAAGACCGATGGGCACCTTAAGGTCCCTTCCGAGATTATTGAAATCAGTCTATTAATGTGTACATTCTATTTAATCTTTTTGTTAAAAAGATTCTAAATTTGGGGTTCTTCCCCTGAGTTTATATATTGGACGTATGTTACAAGTGTTGACTTTGAAATCAGAACCTTGGTTTTCATCATTTTCTGTTCCAAACACCTTTTCCTGTGTTTTCTAGCTTGATTTATGGTGCACTATGTTTCTAGACCTTGGGGTTGTCAAACCATTCTCGTCTACCCAGCTGACCAGCCAGCAGACAGTCTCCGAGTACCCTAACCCTAAAGGAGCTCGTGGCCAAGCAAATAACTCGGAGAAGCAATTACAATAGAAACCGGTAAGAGCTGCAATAACGGTATTACAAGAAACTACGGGAGCGCCCAGGGAGAAGGACTCAGAGCGAGGGAACATTTTTCGAGTGGACAACTGAGTTAAGTTTAAAAGTTCAGCATTTTATTAAACAAACTCTGGGGAGAGGAGAAAGCCACTGCTGGGCAAGGAAGCGTAGTGTGCAAAGTGCGGAGCTCTGAACAAACACAGCTTGGGAGACGGCGAGCAATGAGGCATAAGCGAAGGGGATGGCAGGAGCTGAGGCTGCTCTCGGTTAAATGCCATCATCGCCCACCCGGTCACCCAAGTCAGCAGCCTGAGAGTTCATCCAAGATTCTGTCCTGCTCCATGCCCCATTTCTAGCCGGTCGCCATGCCTGGGAGACTTTACCTTCTTCATCTCCCCTGGATCTTTTCATTCCTTTTGCTTCCTTTGCTGCAGCTGCTTTACGTCAGGTCCTCCCCAGCTCCTCGTGCTGCAGCAGCCGACTGTGACTGCTTGCTTCCATCATGTCCCTCCCCGTCCACTCTGGACTCTCAGGCAGAGTGGTCTTTTAGCTAAGAGGCTTCCATTTTCCAAGAAACGGTCTTGGATTTCCCCCTTCCTGTGCCTCCTCTCAACTTCCAGAAAACCATTTTGATCCTCTGGAAGAACTTACGACATTCTGTTCCGTGCTACAGTTGGAGACCAGAAGCACGCCATTCAATCCGTCTGCTTTATCCACACTTCTTCACAGGGACTGGAGTCCCGCGGTCCCTGCTAATTGGGCAGAAGATTGTGGGACCTTGGACCCTAACCTCTGGTTCAAACTACTGACCAGGGCAAATAACAGTCTCAAGCTAGACCAATAAGATTTTCTACCCTAGAAATTCTGTATTGTGATCTAGACTTCGGTATGTGACCAGAGGACTATTAGGGCCATTTTGGGGCCAGCATGGATGCTACTGAGCAAGCAGGTGGCTACTGTGTAGAGAGAAGAATACAGCTCGTGTGCAGAAAGGGGTAATGAAAAGATGCCACGTGGTGGCTGGACTGGTCCGCGTGGTGAGAGAGACTGTGATTCCTTTGTCACCTTGTTGGTTTCGAGTCCCTCTTGAGACGCACAAGTCTGCATTAGGCTATAATTTCTTTGAATAAAGAAACTATAGCATGTTTACCTTTCTATCTCTCACATAATATAGCACAGCGACTTACATATAGCTGATCAACAGCTGTCTCGTGAACTGAATTTACTACAGAAGTAAATGACTTTGGACTTGAATAATTAGTAGCAATTATATAAAAAGAAGAAGGTTGACACTTTCCAGGGTAGAGTGGAGCGGCAGGGAAGAAAGCCTCTTTGGCTAAACTCAGTTTTAGGCACAGCCTCTGCGGAAGCTAAGCACACACATTCACACCGTAGCAAATACTATACCTTCCTGCTCCTGGTCAAAACCTGGCAAAGAGAGACGAAACCCAGGCAGCCCCGGCACAGCATGTTCTGATTGGGAAACAGTGACCTCAGTTTCTGAAGATCGGTAACTGAGAGCCAGAACCAAACGGCAAGGCGGCCACCAACGCGCTCGACAGCTGCAGCCCACACCCCGCGTGAGGGAGACGTCACCCGAGAACTTCATTATGAAAACTGCCACGTTTTATTTCTTGAGATAAATTTTCTCTTTTTCACAAAGATTTTAAAAGGCATATAACCATAAAAGGTCATTTGAATGTCTTTACGGTAAGAAGGTAGAGAAAAGGTTAGTAGTTTTCCATCGAAGTATGAGAATATTCAAATATTTTTACTTTGAAAATACAAGATTAATATATGATTGTTATTTTTAAATATTCTTTCTTTAGATTCAGCAAATGTCCTTGCTGCTTCAAAGGCCAGACTCCATTTTAATTATTATTGTCCTTTGCCCACAAGAAGAGAGTTCTGATGAAGTAATAATGCTCAGCTGTAAACGAGGACGGCCATTCGAGCAACAAGAGAAGCCCACGCCCGAAGGCTTCCTGACGACGCCCTTACACTTGAAGACTAGGAAGCAGTCCGCTCAAGTGCACACAATGGGACACGGCAGAAAGGCAGATAAAAGACGAGGCCGGATTTCCCGCTGCGGTGTGAAAGTCTTCCCTTTTCACTGCCAAGCGGAATGTAGTGGGGCGACCCGCCCAGGCCAGGTGGCTCAGCCATTACCAGGCCTTTTGAGCTGCTGGTGAGAAACTGGCAAGCCTCTGAGGAGGCCAATTTAGGGCTCAAGGGGTTGACGTCACTTTTGGATAATGAATTAGGCTTGAAAATGATGACATTGCAGTCACGCCACTTGAGAGCAAAAAAGAAAGCGCAACTGCTCCTGACTGGCTCTGAGAGCATATAAATCGCACTGATCTCGTGTGATTTATATGTCACTGGAAGAGTGGCACGGCCGTGTTTCCTAAGTTGCACTACGTATGGCATGCAGATCTGATCGGGCTTGCTTCACCGGCATAAGAGGCTAAGTAGAGAATAAGCCTGATAAAAAAAAGCACACACTGTGGCCACCCATTCAGTGTTGGCACTCGGAAGCACAGAGCGTTCCCAGGAGGGTCCGTCCTGCACAAGTCAGACGACCAACAAGCAAGTTGCCGAACTGTACTCGAAGTGTCAGAACAAACTCTTTTCTAGCGTATATGCCTTTATTTTCATTTCTGTGAAGCATAAATCAGACACCATCGATGATAAAGAGTTAAAGATTTAGCTGAAACAGTATTGCTTTTCTTTCAAAATGAATACCAATTCTAAGAAAACAGGCACTGCATTTGATCGAGTAGCTATGTCCAGCTGTTTCTTCAGATCAAAATAAAGTGGCTATGCAAGATGCTCTGTGACGACATAACCAATATTTAACTTAGATTGGCTTCTGACAGCTTCTGTAAAAACATGGTACCCTTTCCCTGCTTACAGCACGGGAATTTAGCTTTTAATGCCAAAAATGTAACCTCTGAAGATCAGTACCAAAACATCACATCAAACAAATCTTCATATTCATATTTAAAGCATGGGAGACTGGGGTCCCTTGAATATGCCTGGGATTTTACATATTTTAACACTAGTGTCTTGACTGTTTGATGCGATGAATTCTTTGCAGTTCACAAATACAAATGGGATTCATAACATCACAGAGAAAAAGTAGAGGCTCAGAATGTGCTTATATTTTATGTCAAAAACAAAAACAAACAAAAAGGTGATTGCCTGACAATTCAAGGAACCTATAGGTTACCAGTTGAGGTAGTAGCTAAGGGCAATTTCTTAAGAAACCAGACCAAAATATGTCAAGTATCCATGCTTTATTATTTTTCCCTATGCTTAATGAAGAATAATTAAAATATACCAAAAAAAAAAAGTTTACCTAAAAGCCACCTAAACCAACTCTGCCTGGATCTGTGCTTTTCCATCCCAGAGATCACCTACCCCAGCGCAAAATTGCTGTCCTCCTTCCAGTCCACGATGCGGCAGATGAACAGTGTGTCGGCGTAATCCTTAGGCCGGGTCACAAAGTCCTGAGGGCAGTCCTTGAGAGGCACGTATATTCTAGGCACTCGGTGGTCCGAGGGAGAAAACAGGGCATATTTCTTAAACAGCTCACTGTTCTTATCAGCCAGGAGTTTGAGGAAGCCAGCTGCTGCTCGGGAATGCTTTTTCTCCACGATGTAAACCACCTGCAAACACCAAAAACGTAGTCAGTGCTGTTTATCCGCAGGGCTGGGTAGCAGCTGGGAACAGTCAGCAGGATACTGTTTGGCCGTCTATGGCCATGTTACCCTGAACAAACGAGATCCCGATTAATCTCGGAAGCTAAGCAGGGTTGGACCTAGTTAGTACTTGGATGGGAGACCACCTATGAAGACCAGGTGCTGTAGGCATAAAAAACAAAAAAATAATGGATTGTAAGTTGACAAAGTCCTTGCAATCTGTGAGGTCAACCAAGGCTTGCCTCGCCTAAAAAAAAAAAAAAAAGATACTGTTTGGTCAATTAGCCGGGTCCGGCGGTTTTACCAAGTACAAGTGAAGTGCCTCTCAGTGAAGCTCTGTGACTAAGGAATCCATATTTCTGTTGAGGGGAGGAGGGTGGCACTGTGAAGTCCCCTGCGACTACATTGTTCCCTAACTAGGTTGATGTCCTTTTACCTTTCGAAATTTGCCTTCAGTTGTCTCTTGTTATTTTCCAGGGTTTATACATGTACTCAGTGGGGAAGAGCAAGGAGATGTGAGTCTACGCCATCTTTTCTGAACCAGAAGTCCTCGTTTTAATATTTGACAACATAAAGTGTATAAAGTAGCTCAATGTTACTTCTGATTCATGTTAGTTGTCATATAACTGACTTTCTCACAGCGTAAGTTTCGCATACAAGTGCTGTTTTGCCTTGTAATTTTAGTTTGAATCCATTAAGAAATTATCAAAAACAAAAAAACAAACAAAAAAAAACCAGCCAAAGAGAGGGTAGATGCGGGGGGCGGGGGGACACAACAAATTACAGAACACAAATGCCATCTACAGAGGGTCGCCTCCGCTCAGCTCTGACTCAAGTCATTTAAGAATGTGGCCTAGTGTTGCCGGATGTTTTGTTTTGTCAGGAGAAGCCAGAAATCTAATTTTTTTAGGTGAATGCTCCCCTTTTTTTTTTTTTTAATGTAAGCTACCAAGTCAAAATTTTTAAATACTGCACGAGTCGAACGAAACACGTTTGGAGCCAGATCTAGCCCACAGCGCTCCCCTCATTACAGTCCCCCACGCCTAGCGGGGTGCCTGGCATGGGGTTAGCATTCCAAATGCTTATTACAATAACGATCTAGATAACTGGATGGGCAATTGGGGGTACCATATATCGATGTAATTTAGAAATTCCTTCTGTCACCATGCAGGAGATATTCTCCTGCCCAACTCGCTACGGTGGGTGGGAACGCTGCGTTCCCCGGCTCAACGTGCTGCCACCGACACCTTGGGGAGAGGCGGCCCGTGGAGTCACACCACCTCCTTCTCCCCCGCGCACACGGCTTCCACCACGAGCTAGGGCCAGCTGTGTTTGATCCCGTGTCTGAATATGCTACTAGCATATATAATTAAAAGATAAAATTGGATTATGCAAAACAACAAAAACAGGATACAAAAGCAACTGTTTTTGTTTCTATGATCGCTAAATTAAATACTTTGGAAAAACTAAAAAAGACTTCTTAAAGGCTTACTTTTGAATTAGATAAAGGCATGATAACAATAAAAAAATATATATTAGAGCAAAAAACTATACAAATCTAGAAGTGTACATTCATATTGCTTTACCCGTACCAAAATTCTCACTCTACTTTAAATAACCCAAACTGGGAATCATAAATATTACATTACGACTGTGGTTTAAGCAGAAGATAATGCAGAACTTCAACAAATGTACCCACACAGAAAGAAAATGCCTTGACCCTTCATGCAAAGACAAGCAAATAAATACACGCGTAGACATTTGAAGTTATAAAAAGAGTCACTTTTCATGATACCCTGTTTCCACTGACTTTCCTGAGTAAATGACCAACTACAGTCCTAAGGGAATCACGTGAGACCTTTGACAGGTAGTCGGGTGGCAGCCATTTGAATAAATGGAGAAAATCTGAATGAAGTGACCTTTGCTGATCTTTGCAGCGACTTCTCTGGTAAAGCTCTTGTGTCCTGTGCCACAGAGGTGCTCTCGTCTTTTGTACCTGATGCACCAGCATCCTCTTTTCCTAAATTAAAAAGAGAAAGGGA